CACTCTTCTTCTTCTTCTTCTTCTTCTTCTTCTTCTTCTTCTTCTTCTTCTTCTTCTTCTTCTTCTTCTTCTTCTTTCTTCTTCTTTCTTTCTTTCTTCTTCTTCTTTCTTTCTTTCTTTCTTTCTTTCTTTCTTTCTTTCTTTCTTTCTTTCTTTCTTTCTTTCTTTCTTTCTTTCTTTCTTTCTTTCTTTCTTTCTTTCTTTGTTGGAGTCTCACTGTGTCGCCCAGACTGGAGTGCAGTGGCATGCTCCCCGCCACCGCAGCCTCCACCTGCTGGGCTCCAGCGATCCTTCTGCCTCAGCCTTCCAAGTAGCCGGAACTACAGGGGTGTGCTACCACACCCGGCTAATTTTTGATTTATTGTAGAGACGAGGTCTTGCCAAGTTGCCTAGGTGGGTCTCGAACCCGTGGGCTCAGGCAATCCACTTGCCTCGGCCTCCCAAAGCGCTGGTATTATAGGCTGAGCCACCGAGCCCGGCCTAAATGGCTAAAAGGTTAAAAAGAATCATCCCATGACCCCAAGCATGTCTAGACAAGCCAGCACTGCTGGGCACCTCCAGTCCTGCTACCTGCTCCTCATCCTCCCTCTTCCAGGCCAGGGTCCATGGGAAACAATGCCTGCCTCATCCTCCCTCCTATCCTGGATCCTGACATTGTGTCTGCCCCAGAGCAGGTACTTGCTACAGGTTGAACTGTGGACCCCAAAAGATGCTGATGTTTTAACCCCCAGGGTTTATGAATGTGACCCTGGGTGGAAATAGGGCCTCTGTAAAAGAGAGAGAGAAGATGAGGTTGGTAGGGTAGGCCTCCTGCAACACGTCTGGTGTCCTCATGGAGAGGAGAGAGTTAGACGCATGCAGGGAGAATGCCGTGTATAGGTGGAGGCAGAGGCTGGGGGTTGCTTCTATAAGCCAAGGAACGCCAAAGTCACCAGAACAACAGGTGTGAGGAAAGAGGCCTGAAGGAGTTGTCCCTCACAGCCTCAGGAGAACCCCCCACTGACACTTCCATCTGACTTCTGGCCCCCAAAGTCATGAGACCAGGAATTTCTGTAGTTTGACCACCCAATTTATGCTTCTTGTCACAACAGGCTGAGGACACGAACACATCATGGCAAACCATGACTTACACTGTCTTTATTTAGAAACCGAGTGCACCTCTCCAACCTTCAACCACAAAGGCAATGGTCTCGCTCAGCTGCTTAGGAAACCCGAGGTGCAGCAACCCACAGAGACCCCAAGCCATGTCTCAGCACTTGTATAGACGTGCACCCCCCCAACTTCCCCAGAGCCTGTAAAAACAACATGACCCAGGTCCCCCTCAACTTTTCCTTCTGAGATTATAAACAAGTAAACACGCCCCAAGCCAATTTCAAGAGTCTGTAAGCTGAACAAGAACTTGTGGGAAGCTAAAACACAGTCGCTGCTCATTCTCCAAGTGCGAACCTAAACACCAACAAGGAAGGGAAGGAGGCCTCTTGTTGGGAGGACACGTGCCAGGAAGAGGTATAAAAGCCCCACGGCCTCAAGCACCTCACTCACTCACTCACTCACTCACTCACTCACTCACTCACTCACACCCTCCCCAGCTCAACCCCAGCTCAACCTCCAGTATGGCCGTGTCCACCATGTCTGTCTGCTCCAGTACCTCCACTGACCCTTGGCAGGTGGATGATTGCCCAGAGAGCTGCTGTGAGGCCCCCTGCTGTGCCCCCAGCTGCTGCGCCCTGACCCCCTGCCTGAGCCTGGTCTGCACCCCACTGAGCTGTGTGTCCAGCCCCTGCCAGTCAGTCTGCATCAGCTCCTGCACACCCTCATGCTGCCAGCAGTCTAGCTGCCAGCTGGCTTGCTGCACCTCCTCCCCCTGCCAGCAGACCTGCTGTGTGCCCGTCTGCTGCAAGTTCATCTGCTGTGTGCCCACCTGTTCTGGGGCTTCCGCTTTGTGCTGCCAGCAGTCTAGCTGCCAGCCCTCTTGCTGCACCTCCTCTCCCTGCCAGCAGGCCTGCAGTGTGCCCCTCTGCTGCAAGCCTGCCTGCTGCAAGTCTGTCTGCTGTGAGCCTATCTGCTCTGAGGTTTCTTCTTCATGCTGCCAGCAGTCTAGCTGCCAACCGGCTTGCTGTACCTCCTCCCCCTGCCAGCAGCCCTGCTGCATGCCTGTGTGCTGCAAGCCTGTCTGCTGTGCGCCCACCTGCTCTGGGTCTTCCTCTTCCTGCTGCCAGCAATCTAGCTGCAAGCCAGCTTGCTGCCCCTCCTCCTGCTGCAGACCCTCCTCCTGCGTGTCCCTCCTCTGCCGCCCCGTGTGCAGGCCTGCCTGCTGCATGCCTACCCCCTCCTGCTGTGTCCCTCCCTCCTCCTGCCAGCCTAGCTGCTGCCGCCCAACCTCCTGCGTTTCCCTCCTCTGCCGCCCCATGTGCTCCCGCCCAACCTGCTGAGGCCTCTCCTCAGGCCAGATGTGCTGACAGGCCTATCCCCCAGAGCCAGGCTCGGGTCTCACCTGTAAGCTGATTGTCGTGTCCTGAATCGCTCCAGCATTTGGATCACTTCCTGGCGTTTGCTGTTCTAGTCTGCTGTTGAACTGGACAATGTGGGAGATCCCAATGCCCTTATTCAATGCTGTGGCTTTCTTGGGAGTGGGGCTCCTGGAACGTTCCCTTGGCACTGGCCTCCCCGCATTTCCCACCCCTCATGGGTCAGCTTAACCTTGACCCATGGCTCCCTGGCCTCCTTGGCTCAGTGACCTTGAGTCTTCTCTGGATAACCTTGAACAAAACCGCAATAAAGGCCCCAAGACACTGTACTGGCTTCCATGTGTCATGATTAGCATTCTTTGGCTGGAGCTCGCGGACATGTTTTTCTCCACTGTACATTCCACTCTGCTGTCCTTTAGGGGCCTTTATGACTTCCTGTGTGCCACAGGGGTGGGCGCATGACTTCAAGAGGTGGGAGTGGGATTTGCAGTCCTTTGGTCATGTGGGGCCACCTTGGGTTTGTCCTGAATGCTCTTGTGCCATTATCTACTTAAGAGTTCCTTTAGTTGATGTGCCTTTTGAATCCTCCCCTTCTGCACAATCCCTGCCAAATCAAGAAGAGTGTCTTCTAGATCCAGGTTTTTCCAGATCATGGTCAAATGGTCTCCTTGCTTCAAAGCCAGGCATTTTAACCTAATTGCCTAAAACCTGTCACGTGCCCTGCTGACGTCACTAGTGTGGTGGCAGGGACATGTGACTGAAATCAGGTATCTGTTGCTTACACGCTGTGTGAGCAGAAACCTGTCCTTAGCCTCTCTGGGCCTCTCTGAGGTCAGAGCACTAAGGCGCATTTTTAAGGTATTTGAGTGGGTTGGTGAGACCAGCAGAGAACAAGCATGTTGTGATCATAGTAAACATGGGAGGCCCCATGGTTTAGCTGAAACAGAAAAATACTGTGATGGCTTCTGAGTATTTTAAGAAATCTTTAAAAATTATATTTGGGATAAAGATGTGCTGGAGCCACCAGAGGAAGTACCAACTCTATTCTGATCATTATAAAATAAAAAAGAATTTTAATGCACATGGGTCAGAGTGGCCCAGGAACTCACCTGCAGGGAGGCAGAGGTTGGAGAGGACTGACCCAGAGCACCCACCATGTTGGATCCTAGGTCCAGGATGGATGGCATGTACACCACACAGATAGGCATGCCCCTGGTTTGCAGCAATACAGCTCAATGTGCTGACTGCAGTGAACAGGACCAGAGAGTTAAACAGAACTTCAGAATCTTCATCAGAATCAAGTGCTGCTCACCTTTATGCAAGCTGTGAGGGGCTGACCACTTGTGGTCAAGGTCAAGGTGTATCTATCAAGCTCCACTTTGCAATCAGAAAGTAATTTGCTAGGAGGTGTGTAGAAAAGTTGAAAAACTATTAGCAACAAAACTGACTTCACCAACATTTATAAAACATCCCATCTAGCAGCATAGAATGCATGTTTTTCAAAGTGTATGTGGAACATGACCTCAAATAAACCCTGTGCCAGGCCTTAAAATAAGTCTCCATATATTTGAGAGAATTGAAATCACATACAGTATGTTGTTTGACCATGATAGAATTCATTAACAGAAAGTTATTTGGAAAACTGTCCAATATTTGAAAATTAAATGCACTTTAAAATAATCCATGAATCAAAGAAGCAATGGACATTAGGAAATATTTTGAAAAAAAAAATCACCACATATCAAAATATATGGGATGTAGCTAGCATAGCACATCAAGAAAAATGTATAGTGACTTGCCTCTGTTAGAAAGGAAAGATAGCCTAAAATCAATTATCTAGGTCTCTAGCTGAGAAGCAAGAAAACAAAAAGCACAAGTGGAAGCCAAAACTCAGTAGAAGGAATAAAATAATAAAGAATTGCAGAAATCTAACAAATAGGGGAACAAAAAGAGAAGAGAAATAAAACCAAATCTAGTTTTTTGGAAAGATCAATAAAATTGACAAATTTCTAACTATACCAGTCAAGAAAAAACAAGAGAAGAGAGAAATTACCCATATCAGGAATGACAGAAAGGGTTGCCACCACAGGCTTTATAGATGGTAAAAGCAAAATAAGGAAGTGCTGCCAGCAACTCTCTTGCCAACACAGCCAACAACTTAGATGAAACAGGCAAATAACTGGAAATATACAAACTATAAGAATGAATACAAGAAGAAACAGAAAATCTGAATTGTCTTTATTAGTTGAAAAGATTGGATTCATAAAATGTTTCCCACAAAGAAAATGCCAATCCCAAGAGGCTTCACTATAGAATTCCACCAAGTATTTATGGAAAAAAGTAATACCAGTATCAGCTGAACTTTTCCAGAAAGTAGTGGAGGAAGGGACACTTTTTAACTTACTTTATGAAACCAGCATTACACCAACACCAAAGTCTGACAAGAACATCAAAAGAAAACTACTGATCTATATATCTCATGGATATAAATTTAAAAATTCTTAACAAAATATTAGCAAATCGAATCCAGCAATATTTAGAAAGGACAAAACCTCAGGGCTCAATGGGGTGTGTCTCCAGAATGTCAGGTTGGTGTTGCAGTCAAATATCAATCAATGTTTTACCGTGTTAACAAATAAAGGGGAAAAACTATATGATAATTTCAGAAGATGCAAAAAAGGCAACAACTTAACACTTGTTCATTAAAAACAAAAACAAAAGCAAAACCAACCTTCCAGCAAACTAGAAATAAATGAGAATTTCCATAGATGGAAGACTTTTTCCTAAAACCAGAACAGGTGATAATATCTGCTTGCACCACTTCTAGTCAACATTGTACTGGGGTCCTTAACACATATAATAAGGTAAGAAAAGAAAGACTTGCGCATGGGAAAGGAAGAGGTACACCTTCCTTTCCCATGATCATGTTATAGACAACATGATCAGCTTCTAGAAAATCCTCAGGAATATACAAGAATATAATAGACATCATAAGTGAAGTTAGCAAGGTTATAGGAGACAAGGTCAATATACAAAACCAGTTGTATTTCTACCTAGTAACAATCAATAGTTGGAAATAAAAAGAATATAACATTAACTAAAACATTAAAAAAGAAAAAATAGATAAATTTAACAAAATATGTATGAGGTCTATACACTAAAAATGACAAAATATTGCAGAAAAAATTTTAAAAATTCTAAATGACAGGAGAGACATATTATGATCATGGGTCAAAAGAATCAGTTATGTTAAATGTCAATTTTTTTCCAAATTGATCTACAGATTTAATGTAATTCCAATCAAAATCTCAACAGGCTTTTCTGTAGAAATCAGTGAGCTGATTTTAAAATCTATATGGACATGCAGAGGATCTAAAATTTGAAACCAAATTTGAAAAAGAAAAACAGAATGAGAGAACTTACATTACTTGATTTTAAGATTGTATTTAAAGTGTGGTATAAGGATAAATATATAGAAGGAGGTAGCAGAAAAGGGTCCAGAAATAAGCCCACACATAAAAGGTCAATGGATTTTGATAAAGGCAATTCAACAGACAAAGGATTATCTTTTCAGCAAATGTGCTATAACAACTCATGTATTTAAAATTAACTTAAAGTGACATAGAACTAAACATAAAAATTAAAACCAAGAAACATCTGGAAATAAGCATAGGGGAAAACTTGGGTTTAGCAAAAATTTCTTAGATAGGACCACTGGAGATAAACTGGATTTAACCAGCATTAAAGATTCAACTTGTTAAAACAAACAAACAAACACTGCTGACCGGGTGTGGTGGCTCACATCTGTAATCCCAGCACTTTGTGAGGCAGACACAAGAGAATTGCCTGAGCCCAGGGTTTCCAGAACTGCCTGGGCAACTTGGCAAGATCTTATCTCTACAATAAAAATTTTAAAATTAGCTGGGTGTGATGGCGCATGCCTATTGTCCCAGCTACTTGGGAGACTAAGGTGGTAGGATTGCCTGAGCTCAGCAAGTGAGGATGCGGTAGCTGTGATTATGCCACTACATTCCAGCCTGGGTGACAGAGTGAGACTGCTACTCAAAACAAACAAACAAACAACAACAAAAACACTTAAGAAAAAATGAAAAGGTTAGCCACAGATGGGGATATATGACAAAAATTGGTATCCAGAATCTATAAAGAATGCTTACACCTTAACGCTAAGGCTACAAGCAAGCTGATTTAAGAAAGGTGGGCAGAGGATTTGTACAGACACTTCACTGAAGAAGACATATAAATGGCAAGCAGACATAGGTGGTGCCCCACACAATTAATCACAGTGGAGTGCAGATGTCATGCTGCACATGGAATGGACAAAGCCTAAGTGCTGCTGGGAAGGGAAAGTAGTGCCGTGATTGGGAAGACAAGTTGGTGACTTATTATGAAGTGAAAAATACACTCAAAGTATGACCCAGCAACCTGCACCTTGGGATTTATCCAGAGAAGAAAGACACTTGCTCACACACAAACCTGACTTCAGAGTCCAGGGGATTTCTCCATAATCACCTAAACCCACAGCCCACCTGAGTGTCCTGCTGTGGGTGGGCAGATGAACTGTGATGTAGTCACTCAGCAGAATGCTACCCAGTCACAAAAAAGAAAATAGGCTGCAGATACAGCAAACGAGATGGTTCACAGAGGCAGACACTAAGGACATGTTGCACAGTCCTTCCCTAAGACACTCAAGAAGAGACAAGCTTCTTGGGAGAAGCAGAGCATTGGTGACCTGGGGCTGGGGTGGAGGGGGAGCCTAGGGTGCTGATTGGCAAGGGAAGTGTATGGGGAAGCATTCGGCCTCACAGACACGGTACACGTCTGGGTGACCTGGGGGCGCTGTGGGATGCCTACCTCTTTCAAATCTGATCAGACTTTACAACTAAGATGGGCATGTTTGATTCTGTGTCACTTGTACCTTGACAAAGCTGATCATAAACTTAAGT